GCAGTCTCTCCGGATCAGAGAGCGAGTGGGGTGGCTATTCTGGGTTTCGCACCTGGGATTCGGTTTCAGGATGTGGTCAGCCATGAATCAGGGAGGCTCCTCAGTGCTACTTTCACATGGCAGCAGCAGGTGTACAGGGTTGTCGCCGCATACTTCCCGGCGCAATCCACTTGTAGAGGGGAGTTTTTCAGGGATGTTTTGACGCCTTTCGTACACAGCCTACCGTCAACAACTCACACCATCTTCATGGGAGATCTAAACATCGTCGGAGACCCGGACTTGGACAAGTCATCCAGGCTCGGATCCCCTGCTGAGAACCAGCGTCTCTTACAGATCTGCAGCAGCTGGAACCTGCAGGACAGTTTTAGGACACTGCACCCAACACGGAAGGAGTACACGTTTTTCTCAAGATCGGCAAAGGTCAGCACGAGAATAGACAGGATACTGGTGTCAAGCACGCTGATTGGCCACGCGACGGAAGCTAAGCATAAGATGGTCCCGGTTGGCATCACGGATCACTGGTTTGCAATACATATGACGGTCCAAGCGGCGGTACCTGGTGGAGGGGGTCCCGGGCTCTGGAGGCTGCAGATGACACAAGCAGGAGAAGCAGGAACAAAAAAGATTATTGAAGCGGTACTGAATGAACACCAGTCGCATCTGGAGCAGCCGTTCGATGGTCTTTTGCTGAACTTGAAGGCGAGTCTGAGAGCGCATACAGCAGAGGAAAGGAAGCGGGTGAAGGCCACGATCCGGCACCTGGAGGGCAAGGTGGTGAGACTCAGGAGGCTTCTGATGTATAACCCGACGGGGCCTGGATTGTACGAGGAGCTGATCAAACATGAGGCGGCGCTGAAGGGGTATCAGGAAAAAACGAAAGTTAGGCTGCAGGTGATGACGGAGATGTCGGTGGAGCTGGCGAGTGAGGCACCGACTGGCTACCTTTCAGGCCTGATAAAGTCGAGGAAAGAGAAAACAGAGATTAAAGGAGTGGTGCGCAATGGCCAGGCGATTACAGGCGCGAGAGAAGTGCTGGCAGCGGCGACCAGTTTTTTCAAAGAATCTTACGCAGCTCCTCACTGTCAGCAAGAGAGTAATGCGGAAAGCTGGGAGGTGGAAGAGGACAAGCGTCTGCTGGAATGTGATAAGGCGCTGCTTACGAAACCATGGTCGGAGGAGGAAGTGAAGACAGCACTTCGTGAGCTACCAGCGGGAAAGGCGCCGGGACAGGATGGACTGCCGAAAGAGCTGTTTGAGAAAAATTGGGAGCTGTTGGGGAAGGAGCTGATGAAGTTGATCAACAACTTCGAAAAAGACGCGGTTATGCCAGAAGCTTTCATGACGGCGGTGACTATCCTATTACACAAGAAAGGAGACAGGGAGCAGCTGGGGAACTACAGACCAATTACTTTGCTCAGCGTGGTGTATAAGCTGATCGCGAAAATCCTGGCCAACAGAATTAAGAAGGTGCTACCGAGGGTGATATCAGAGCATCAGTTTGGTTTCTTACCGGGGAGGCGGCTAGCGGATGCAGTCTCGATAGTGGCAGACGTAGTTGATGCAGCAGCGGAAGGAGATGAGGACTGGCTCCTGCTTCTGGTTGACTTCCAAAAGGCATACGACTCGGTCTCGAGAGAATTTCTTTTTTCGCACGATGGATATGATGGGTTTTCCCAAGGAGTTCATCGCCTGGACAAAGGGACTGCATGATGGAGCGGGCACACGGATGTTAGTAAATGGATGGACGGGAGAAAGGGTAGCGATGGAAAAAGGGGTTCGGCAGGGCTGCCCCTTGGCTCCTTACCTGTTCCTATGCGCGGCGGAACCTCTGTGTCAGGAGGCGAGGAGGAGGAATCTTGGGATCAGGAAAAGAGGTTTCGGGGGCCTGACGTATGTGGGGTATGCGGACGATACGACCCTGGCGTTGGGGGGCAAAGAGCAAGTGGACACGGCCAAGAAGCTGTTAGACGATTTCGGACAGATCTCGGGCTTGTACATCAACCAGGAGAAAACAAAACTGTTACCACTGGGGAAAAACAGGAGAAGACAGCAACCTACTGACTCACCTTTCAAATGGGCGGCAAGCAATGAGCCGGAACGGTTGCTGGGTATCTGGATCACACCGAACGGATCGCCGGAGCCGTCTTGGTATAAGGCGTTTGAACGGATGTGCGGAGAGCTGAGCAAGTGGGATGAGAAACACCTGACGACTTCGGCGAGGGTTACAATCGTGAACAGTTACGCGATGCCAATTCTGCTGTTCCAAGCGCTGGTGTATGCGCCTCCGCACGAGATATGGCTGAAAGTAAAGCGGATCTGCCATAACTTCATATCGAAAGGAAAAGCGTCTTTTGACAGATTTTTCATCCTGTGGAGCTATGAGCTTTCCTGCAGAGGACGGAAGGAAGGGGGGCTTGGCGTAATAGACCCGAAGGAGAGATTGGGGAGTATTGCGATCCACAACATTGGAAGAGGAGCGACGGCGACAGACCCGTTCAGGAACTGGCTTTGGGAGAAGGCAGCAGGTTTCCCGCAAGGGCTTGCGACGATCTATGCGCACCCTGCCATCTTACATCACTGGTTAAAAGGGGGGGTGAGATGGAAGGCAACGGTGGAGGCTCTCTGGGAGACAAAGAAGGAGGTGATCAGGGAAACTTCGAACAGATGGGAAGCGGAGGGAGAACATCTGCTCTTCAATCGGAAAATTTTCTTCAGGGGAAAATCCCCGTTTGGAAAGCAGAAGGGATCAGTTTGCCTGTTGGGAATCACGCTTGGAGATCTGATTGAAAAGGAAGCGGGCGGCACCAGAAGAGTCAAAGAAGAGGCGACACTGGATAGGGAGCTGGGAGGTGAAGAGCAGAGGAAATGGGCGTTGAAGGCCTTTGAAGCAACGCCGTCAGAATGGAAGGAAATGATTATAAGGCCTCTCACCGCGGAGGAAGTTTTCGGAGCTGCGAAGCTGATAAGGACCAACTCATACCGTCCCAGCGAGTTTCTTTACTACAGACTGCTGTACACGGCCAATGGCAGATTGTACGGGAAAAGGGTGACGGTGGAAGCAGGAGGAAAAGTCAAAGAGGTGCGCTATGCTAGTGCGACGGAGGTGAACTGGAAGAAGGCGACACCGATGGTAGAGATAAGAGGCGCCATGAAGGGCCGGCTGGGAGAGCCAAGGACGAGGTTGCTGCAGTCGAGACTCTGTGAGGAGGGCGAGCCTGCTGAGTTGCGTGTTCTGAGGAAGATGCTGAAACCCCAACTCACGAAGCCGAAACAGCAGCTGCAGTGGGAGGAAGATTGGGGGAAGCCCGTTGATTGGAAGAGGGCGATTGAGACAAGAGACTCGCTGGCGACGTCAGCCCGGGCGAGGGAAGTGATTCTACGGGCACACAACAAAAATCTGCAAGTGGGCGAAAGGCTCCCTTTCCTGGGGGCACGCGCCAATTGTATTCACTGCGGGGAAATGGAGACGCTTGACCACTGCATTTTGGACTGCCCGAGAGTGAAGCCGGTAACAGAGGTGGTGCAGAGGGCGCTCCAGCTGATGAATCCAGCGCGACAAGGGGGGACGGTGGGAGACCTACTGTTCCAAGAAACATGCACGAAATCAGGTTTTCCGGAAGCCTCATTAATAGGCACGGCATCGCATCAAGTGTGGCTGGCAAGATGTAACGCGATATGGAGAGGGGTGAGATTTCAGGCCAAGCGGGTTCTGAGGCGGATAAACGTCCAATTCACAAGACACGTAAGGATCTACAGCAATGCAAAGAAGAGACAGGCGAGAGGGAAATGCCAGGGGGGCAAAAACGATTGGGAACACCTGGCAAAAGATGAGGCTGGGGTGCTGAGTAAGCTTTATAGCGAGGAGTCATCCATGACGTGGAGAGAGGATTTTAGAGCAATCTGGGAGGATCCACTCATCACCTTTCAACCGCCATAGAGGGTAGTTGGGGGGTTGCATCTACAGGGCTAGATAATACACCTCCCTGCACATCAGTTACGACTGAGGACATTTCATGTATGCTATCCTTATAGTGTACTTGAGTCCACCAAAAAAAAAAAAAAAAAAAAAAAAAAAAAAAACGAAATTAGGGCGCTACTCGGGTTTTGCTGGAGAGGTCCAACTTCTTAAAGCCCAAGACCTGAATTACTCAACGGAAGTCAACGCTAAAAACTAGGTTCAGGAGGCAGGCACGGAGAGGTTCGGTTGGGTTGCGAGAGATTTTCACTCGCGAAACCAATTTGCGACAAAAGTTTCTCGCTTCCCATGATGGTTGGTGCCCTTCCCACAACTAGAAAAGCGCGAGCTTATCAAACTGTGCACAGTTTGAGATAGCACGCAGCGTATTAGGCATAGACCATACCTGTAGACAGGGCAGGGCGTCGGCGTTCACTCAAAAGGGAGTAGATGCGCCATACGATTTGGGTGGCGCGGATTTGCAATGATGACGCGCAAAGCTAGTTTGCGCTGGGTGAAGATTATTGTGTCAAAATGCAGGTTATTGTGCAACTACTCCGTAGCGTAAACTCGTGGCGAAAATCGAATCGCAACCGTTCGCCCAAACGTGACCCTCCCCTCGCCCTCGCTTTCCTTTCCCACGCTTCCGCTCTCTTTCGCCCGCGTCGTCGCCATCGCTTCCGCAGCTCGTCGCGTGCCCGTCGCCTTCGCTCCGCCCGTCGCCTTCACTTCTCCCCCGTCGCCTTCACTCCCCCCCCCATTGCCTTCATTTCCCCCTCCCGTCGCCTTCACTTCCCCCTCCCGTCGCCTTCACTCCCCCCTCCCGTCGCCTTCAATTCCCCCTCCCGTCGCCTTCATTTCCCCCTCCCGTTGCCTTCATTTCCCCCTCCCGTCGCCTTCATTTCCCCCTCCCGTCGCCTTCACTTCCCCCTCTCGTCGCCTTCACTTCCCCTCCCGTCGCCTTCATTTCCCCCTCCCGTCACCTTCATTTCCCCCTCCCGTCGCCCTCACTTCCCCCTCCCGTCGCCTTCACTTCTCCCCCCCGATGCCTTCGATTCCCCCTCCCGTCGCCTTCCACGCCTGCCGCACTCGCTTTCCCCCCGTCACACTCGCTTCCCCACCCGTCACCTTCATTTCCCCTCCCATTGCCTTTCACTCTCTCCTGCTCAATCTTTTCCCCCCTGCTCACTCTCTTCCCCCCTGCTCACTCTCTTTCCCCCCTGCTCACTCTCTTCCCCCCTGCTCACTCTCTTCCCCCCTGCTCACTCGCTTCCCCCCTCCTCAATCTCTTCCCCCCTGCTCACTCTCTTCCCACTCTCTTCCCTCCTGCTCACTCTCTTCCCCCCTGCTCACTCTCTTCCCCCCTGCTCACTCTCTTCCCCCCTGCTCACTCGCTTCCCCCCTCCTCAATCTCTTTCCCCCTGCTCACTCGCTTCCCCCCTCCTCATTCTCTTTCCCTCTGCTCACTCCCCTCGTTCTAACCCCACTTTCCCCATTTCTCACCCATTTTCCCCCTTCACGCTCTCTTACCCCCTCTGCTCGCCCCTGTTTTCCCGACTCACGCCTATACTCACTCTCTCCCCCCCTGCTCACTCTCTTCCCCCCCTGCTCACTCTCTTTCCCCTTGCTCACTCTCTTTCCCCCCTTCTCACTCTCTTTCCCCCTTCACGCTCTCTTTCCCTCCCTTCCGCCCGTTGCCCCCCTTCGTCTCGCGCTCGTCCCCTCGCAATCCCCGTCTCTCTCTCCCCCCGTCGCCCTCGTTTTCCCCGTCGCCCTCCCTTCCACTCCTCGTTGCCCTCACCATCACTCCTCGTTGCCCTTCTCCCTTCCCATCTCGCACACTTGTCACGCCCCCTTTCCAACCCGCACATACACCCTTCCCTTCTTCCCTGTTTCCTCGTATCCCCTGCGCTGCTTCCCCCCATCCTCCGACTTGCTCCCCCCATCCCCTTCCCTGCTTCCCCCCAACCCCTTCCCTGCTCCCCCCATCCCCTTCCCTGCTTTCCCCCTTCCCCTTCCCTGCTTCCCCCGGTCCCCTTCCCTCCTTCCCCCGTCCCCCTCCCAGCATCCCCCCATCCGCTTCCCTGCTCACCCCCATCCCCTTCCTTGCTCCCCCCCATCCCCTTCCCTGCTTCCCCCTATCTCCTTCCCTGCTTCCCCCTATCACCTTCCCTGCTCACCCCTGCTCCCTCTGTTTCACCCTTGCTCCCTCTGTTTCACCCTTGCTCCCTCCCCTTCTTCTCTGCTCACCCTCTTCCCCCTTGCTCACTCTCTTTACTTCTGCTCACTCTGTTCCCCCCTGCTTCCTCTCTTCCCCTCTGTTCAATCTGTCCCCTGCTGCTTCTTCTCTTCCCCTCTGCTCATTCCGTTTACTGTCTTTCCCCCTTCACTCACCCCCATACCCCCCAATGCAGTTACAGGTGCTCAGCACCAGATGTGGCTTTACCATGGCCTGGTTTATTGCTTGCAGTGTAGCAGACAAAGCCGGAAAACAACATTACACATACACCCCCTAGCTTTGTTCCCTTCTCGAGTCTGGTGATTCCCCTTACTTTACAGATACGGTAATATATTAATTGTTGAACTCCTTGGTATTGGTCATGTGTATGACTGCTCTGAGGCTCATAATCCTGTATTATAAAAAAAAATCCAATATATGGCATGGCTATACGTGTGTTACTATCAGACAGCCAGCACATGCACAACCAGATGCAGAGCAGACCTGTCCAAACACAAATCAAGAAGTCTGATGTGACGTGGCTGAAGTATAAGGGAATGACAACTGGCAAATGAGGAAGGGAGGAACGGAGGAAGGGAGGAAGTGAGGAATGCAGGAATGAAGGAAGGGAGGAAGTGTTGATGGGAGGAAGGGAGGTAGGGAGGACGCTTGGGGGAGAAGCAGAAGGGAGGGGAGGAAGAGAGGCTGGGGAGGAGGGTGGGGAGGGGGGTGGGGAGGAGGGTGGGGAGGAGGGTGGGGAGGAGGGTGAGGAGGAGGGTGGGGAGGAGGGTGGGGAGGAGGGTGGGGAGGAGGGTGGGGAGGAGGGTGGGGAGGAGGGTGGGGAGGAGGCTGGGGAGGAGGCTGGGGAGGAGGCTAGAGAGGAGGGTGGGGAGGAGGCTAGGGAGGAGGCTGGGGAGGAGGGTGGGGAGGAGGGTGGGGAGGAGGGTGGGGAGGAGGGTGGGGAGGAGGGTGGGGAGGAGGGTGGGGAGGAGGCTGGAGAGGAGGGTGGGGAGGAGGCTGGGGAGGAGGCTGGGGTGGGGCGGAATGGGGTGGGGCAGAAAGGGGTGGGGCGGAATGGAGTGGGGCAGAAAGGGGTGGGGCGGAATGGGGTGGGGCGGGGCGGAATGGGGTGAGGCGGATTGGGGAGATGAGGGATGGGGAGATGAGGGATGAGGAGATGAGGGATGGGGAGGTGTGGGATGGGGAGGAGAGGGCTGGGGAGGAGAGGGATGGGGAGGTGAGGGATGAGGAGGTGAGGAATGGGGAGATGAGGGAAGGGGAGATGAGGAATGGGGAGATGAGGTGAATGAGCGTGTATGCGACGGAAGGGTGCTGCTGACCACGCACCCTCCCACACCCAACGCGATGGGAAGGGATGAGAGGGTGGGCGGCATGGGTAGAGAAGCGATGGTGAAGAGGGGGAACGTGATGGGCGGGGGGGTGATGACGACGCGGAGAGAGGGAGGAGAGAAGGGAGGTCGGCGGGAAGGCTAAGCGAGGACGATGGGAGGGCAAGCGTGGGCGACATTGGCGGTGGGCGACGGTGGCGGTGGGCGACGGTGGGGAGAAGCGTGGGCGACGGTGGGGGGAAGCGTGGGCGACAGTGGGGGGAAGCGTGGGCGACGGTGGGGGGAAGCGTGGGCGACAGTGGGAGGAAGCGTGGGTGACGGTGGGGGGAAGCGTGGGCGACGGTGGGGGGAAGCGGGGGCGACGGTGGGGGGAAGCGTGGGCGACGGTGGAGGGAAGCGTGGGCGACGGTGGGGGGAAGCGTGGGCGACGGTGGGGGGAAGCGTGGGCGACGGTGGGGAAAGCGTGGGTGACGGTGAAAAGTGCTAGGAATAAAAGTGAAAATGCTCATGGCCTATGCTGTAGTGGCGTTTTATTCTATCTCTTCGCATACTCTAATCGCTTCGCGTACTATGGAAATCACACGACCTGAATTACCGAAGAAGGCAAACTGTGCACACTTTGAGCCCTTGTTCCTTCAGGAGGGTGTGGTTGGGACTCTCGCCAACCAAACCTGTTCTGCTCTACGACTCTGTGTTTCTTGGCGCAATGTTTTCTGGTAACCCGCCTGGCTCGGGAGGTCAACTGTGGGTTCGGTAGGCAAACTGTGCACAGTTTGCCTTCCTTTTTTTGTAATTCAGGTCTTGGGCTTTAAGTTGAACTTTGTTGTGGCAAGTGATTTTCGAGAGGAAAAAGAATCGCGATTCGGGACCCAAAAGTTGAGATACTCGAGTACAGGTCGACCTAGGCTCGAACGTATAAAATCGACTTAAAAACATGAATTTTGCAGTAAAATTCAAAAGACACGCGCCCTGATGGCGTCTGTAGATGTGTTCATATCCGAGGGCGTGGCGTTGCCAAAATGCTACCAGCTGCACCATGCAAATAACAAATTCAACCCCGTTGAAAGCTTTCACACCCACCGAGTTCGTGAAAACACACAGCTAAAGAGTCCAATCAAAACTCTCCAGGTGTTGTGAAAACTCCAAGGAGCTGTCGTGCCACCTTGAGCTGTTCGGGTCGTTGTCACGTCATTCGCTGGAATTTACTCGTCTGCAGCCCATGAAACACGGTGGATCCACCTTGGAGTCTGGTTTAGCTGATCAGCATTTTGGAGTTGTGATTTTTTTTTTAATCAAACAGACCCAACTGTTTCCTACGGTATTGTCAGTTACATCTTTTTCAGTTTTAAATGAAAGAAAAAAGGAAAACGCAGCCTCAAGAACACCCCAGTAGAACAGCACATAAGGAACCCCAAAAGACACCCCAACGAGATACCCCCAACGAGACACCCCAACGAGACACCCCAACGAGACACCCCAACAATACGCCCCATCTAACCAAACCCCCCACCCCCCTCACCTAAACCCACCCTCTAAACCCGCATGTCCACCAAATAGGGCGCATCCGCCCACGGAGCATCCCATCCCATCTCCTCCTCAAAATCCTCCCGCTCCACCGAAACAGCCTCTGGGCCTCTCATCATCGACGCCGCGCGCAACAAGATCACACGCGCCTGAGCCCGCTGCAAAGCCACACCTATGGCCGCTTTAAGTGATCCAAGCAAGTAAGCCGAGAAACCTTTCCCCGTAGCTCTCGCTGCCCCTTTCGTCTTCGCTACCTCAATCTGCGCGTCGCCCTGTTTCTTAAGCCACCGCCCAAAACTCCCCCCCAGGCAACCCCATGTCTCAGCAATGAGAGGTGTAAACTGCACTCCCCTATGTCGCTGCAGAAGCAATTTGTAGTCCGCCGCCTTCCGCTTTTCCCTCTCTCTAGCGGCAAAACCCACCTTGCGACCAATCTGTCCATGGTGCTGCGCGGACAACGAGATAGGGTCCACCACACTAACCTCCAGCGCATGCTCCTCCCCCTCCCTCAGTCTCCGCACCGCCACATCCACCCTCTTCCCTGGCAGCAACGTGTCGTCTTCCATGGTCACGACCCCACCCGCCCCTTTAGCTATCTTCGCCACCACAAACTTAACCGCGTCGTGAACACGAGAAGGTGCGTACTGGTACTTGCAGCGAAGGGCATGATGCGGGTCAGAGGGATCAGCAAACTCAAACCCACACGCGCACTTGCCGGCGACTATCAGCTGCTGTATGGGGAGGCCTAGGCGCATGGACGCACAGATGCTCCACTCGGCTGCGGTGAAGGTAGCCTCTTCGTGCGAAGGGACGGCGGAGACCCACGCCCCTGCCCCCGGGCCCTGAAGGGATGTCAAACGGGCCATGGTGGCGTCGTCGTGGGCCATACCCCGAAGAGTCTGCAGACTCTCAACCGCTAGGCGACGGTGTTGTGTGGGGATAAGCAGCACAGGGGGGTCAGCGGTGCATAAGGCTAGGGGTGGCATCTCCTGCCTGACCGACTGTGGCAGCAGCTCCACTGCTCTCGCAAACCAAGGATCCAGCAAGGTCGTAGCCTCGGGCGTGCGGAAAAACTCCTCAAACATCCGTTCCTCCCCTGCCACCCCCATCCGAGCCACATCGCTCACTGCCTGGCACCAACCACATGCGTACGACAGAGGGCTAAGGTCAGCTGCAGATCGAATGCCAAACCCTCTAAGTCTGGCTGGAAGGTGCAGCTGTAGACGAGCCATCTGCGACCTTGCCGAATCATGATCCCAGGTGCTATCTGGAAACAACTGCTCAAAACAATCCTCAAGCTTCGTGTCCCAGTCGCGGAAAGCCTCCACAACCTCAGGCCGTGGAGGCATCGTCCTTGTGAGGTAAATCGGGCGCGCTGACACTGCGATCGCCAGCAGATGGGACGCAATCTGTGGGTGGTCGAGCAAAGGAAGCCAAGGGACAGGTGCATGCAGCTGCATCAGCCGGCCTCGCAAGCTGGCCACCTCCCACTCCTCCTCCCCAATAGGAACCCCCACCACGGTGAGCCCCGTCCATGTTTGCTGCATGCCGGGCGGGACGGTCTCGTTCCTCTCCTCTCCCTCCTGGTCCACCCCTCGCTCCCAAAGCTTGCACTTATGCGGCTGCACCTCCAGACCAAGCCCGCCCAGTCGTTCCCGCAAGACCTCATAAGCTGCTAGCACCCGCTCCCTAGGCCCCAAGATGTACGTATCATCGGCGTAGCTGAGAAAGAGTAGGTCGGCGAATTCTTGTTTGGTGGGCTCCATAACCAGCTGCTGTGTGAACGCGAACAGAAACGACCCCAATGGGTCCCCTTGCCTCGATCCTCGCTCTGAAGCCAAAGCTTCGACGAAGGGGCCCGCACGGAGGTAGAGGTCGCTAGGAGTGCCGTAGAAGACACGCAGGAATGGGATCAAACCCGCAAAAGGCGACTGTCGAAGTCCTTCAAACATTTCCCGCCGATGGAAGGAGTTGAAAGCATTCGCCACATCAATTTGAAGTGCGCACCATGACGGGTGAGTAGAGATGGCAGAACGAAAGGCATGTGCGAGGACTTCCACTCCCGACCTGGATCCGACTCCTAGCTGGTTACACGGCGCAAAGTGCGACATCATCTTCGGCCGAAGCACGATGCATAGGGCCCGAGATAGTATGCGGGGGAGCACCTCGCCTATAGCCACCGGGCGAACGTCACCATTCGGCTTCGACAGGCCCACAAGGTTGGACGCAGTGAGCCAGGGTCGCACGCGCTCCGCTACCTCTCCCTTGGTCCACTGGGTGAAGACTCCTAGCAGGTGAGGCAGGTATGCGGGCTCAGAGAGAAAAGTGTCGCGCAGGTGCTCCGTCACCCACCCCGACGGTCCTGGTGCCGACGCCCTAGCCGCAGAGTGGATCGCCTGACCAAGTACCTCCACTGAGAGCTGCGGGATAAGGGAAGGCTCAACTATCTCCTCCTGCAACCACTCCGGAATGGCAGTCTCGCTCGATGGGTGTTTCGCTCGCAGCGCGTCCACCATGTGCTGAGAGGGCTGAGCGATGCTACCGGCAGTAAGACACGCCAAACCCCGACTCCATTCTCCCACTTTGCACCTTGTGCGGCAGCGAGCCAGGCGCACCGCATCAGGATCATGCTCGGGGGGGGTGAAGGACAAAGGACGCGCCGCAGGTTGCATTACCGCCACCGCCAACTCAAACAGCTCCCGCCACTCCCCGACCCAAAACTTCTCCAACCGCTCCCTGATTGCCGCCCTATGCCCCTGGCCTTGCCCAGTTGGCATCCCCAAGATAAGACGAGGGAAGGCCAAAAAGACCAAGGACGCCGCCTCGTCTGCTGCCTTTAACTGTAGCCGCTTCAGGACACAAGACAGTGCATCAAGCACCCCCAATCTAGCGCGCTGTGGGATACGACGCATGATTCTCCCTGGCACCAATTCGATCCCAAAAAACGACTCCCAGTCCCATGTAGGAACTGCGGCCCATACCTCTTCACTGATATCACGTGGTGGCGGGGGTTCGCCGTCCGAGTCATCTGTGACGTCGCGGGTCAACCCAAGCGCCTGAGCACGACGCTGGGCGTCCGCTGCCCTGCAGGCCGACATATGGCGTGTGGCCTTTCCTCTCTCCGTGAACGTGCGATAACAGGTTTCGCACGGAATGCGGGGCGGGGGTGTCAATGTAGGGTCTGGGTGCTCCTCTCCACTCGAACACGCCGGCAAGACCCTCCTGCTAGACTCCGTCTCCATGCCCCCCTCTAACGGCCTTGCAAGCTCCATCCCTCCGCACTGCAGCTGCTGCTGCCCTCCGCTCTGCAACTGCTGCTGCCCTTCGCTCTGCAATTGCCGTTGCCCTCCGCTCTGCAGCTCCTGCTGCCCTCCGCTCTGCAGCTGCTGCTGCCCTCCGCTCTGCAGCTGCTGCTGCCCTCCGCTCTGCAGCTGCTGCTGCCCTCCGCTCTGCAGCTGCTGCTGCCCTCCGCTCTGCAGCTCCCGCTGCCCTCCGCTCGGCAGCTGCTGCTGCCCTCCGCTCTGCAGCTGCTGCTGCCCTCCGCTCTGCAGCTGCTGCTGCCCTCCGCTCTGCAGCTCCTGCTGCCCTCCGCTCTGCAGCTGCTGCTGCCCTCCGCTCTGCAGCTGCTGCTGCCCTCCGCTCGGCATCTGGTGCCCTCCGCTCTGCAGCTGCTGCTGCCCTCCGCTCGGCAGCTGCTGCTGCCCTCCGCTCTGCAGCTGCAGCTGCCCTCCGCTCGGCAACTGCTGCTGCCCTCCGCTCTGCAGCTGCTGCTGCTCTCCGCTCGGCAGCTGCTGCTGCCCTCCGCTCTGCAGCTGCTGCAGTTTGGTTGCCTGTCGCCTCCGGCCCCGGCCCCGCGCTCGGGGCCTTTCCGCTTGGTCCGGGGAATCAGGGTTGGCATTCTCCCCCTCCATGGGGCTTGATTCCAGCTCATCGGTGCAAGCCTCGTCCGCCATCTCCACATCCAACACCCAAACCGGCTCTTGCTGCCCTCCGCTCTGCAGCTGCTGCTGCCCTCCGCTCTGCAGCTCCCGCTGCCCTCCGCTCGGCAGCTGCTGCTGCCCTCCGCTCTGCAGCTGCTGCTGCCCTCCGCTCTGCAGCTGCTGCTGCCCTCCGCTCTGCAGCTCCTGCTGCCCTTCGCTCTGCAGCTCCTGCTGCCCTCCGCTCTGCAGCTGCCGCTGCCCTCCCCTCGGCAGCTGCCGCTGCCCTCCGCTCGGCAGCTCCTGCTGCCCTCCGCTCTGCAGCTCCTGCTGCCCTCCGCTCGGCAGCTCCTGCTGCCCTCCGCTCTGCAGCTCCTGCTGCCCTCCGCTCTGCAGCTCCTGCTGCCCTCCGCTCTGCAGCTCCTGCTGCCCTCCGCTCTGCAGCTCCTGCTGCCCTCCGCTCTGCAGCTGCTGCTGCCCTCCGCTCTGCAGCTGCTGCTGCCCTCCGCTCGGCAGCTGCTGCTGCCCTCCGCTCGGCAGCTGCTGCTGCCCTCCGCTCTGCAGCTGCTGCTGCCCTCCGCTCGGCAGCTGCTGCTGCCCTCCGCTCTGCAGCTGCTGCTGCCCTCCGCTCGGCAGCTGCTGCTGCCCTCCGCTCTGCAGCTGCTGCTGCCCTCCGCTCGGCAGCTGCTGCTGCCCTCCGCTCTGCAGCTGCTGCTGCCCTCCGCTCGGCAGCTGCTGCTGCCCTCCGCTCTGCAGCTGCTGCAGTTTGGTTGCCCGTCGCCTCCGGCCCCGGCCCCGCGCTCGGGGCCTTTCCGCTTGGTCCGGGGAATCAGGGTTGGCATCCTCCCCCTCCATTGGGCTTGATTCCAGCTCATCGGTGCAAGCCTCGTTCGCCATCTCCACATCCAACACCCAAACCGGCTCTTGCTGCCCTCCGCTCCGCAGCTGCTGCTGCCCTCCGCTCTGCAGCTCCCGCTGCCCTCCGCTCGGCAGCTGCTGCTGCCCTCCGCTCTGCAGCTGCTGCTGCCCTCCGCTCTGCAGCTCCTGCTGCCCTCCGCTCTGCAGCTCCTGCTGCCCTTCGCTCTGCAGCTCCTGCTGCCCTCCGCTCTGCAGCTGCCGCTGCCCTCCACTCGGCAGCTGCCGCTGCCCTCCGCTCGGCAGCTCCTGCTGCCCTCCGCTCTGCAGCTGCTGCTGCCCTCCGCTCGGCAGCTGCTGTTGCCCTCCGCTCTGCAGCTCCTGCTGCCCTCCGCTCTGCAGCACCTGCTGCCCTCCGCTCTGCAGCTCCTGCTGCCCTCCGCTCTGCAGCTCCTGCTGCCCTCCGCTCTGCAGCTCCTGCTGCCCTCCGCTCTGCAGCTGCTGCTGCCCTCCGCTCGGCAGCTGCTGCTGCCCTCCGCTCGGCAGCTGCTGCTGCCCTCCGCTCTGCAGCTGCTGCTGCCCTCCGCTCGGCAGCTGCTGCTGCCCTCCGCTCTGCAGCTGCTGCTGCCCTCCGCTCTGCAGCTGCTGCTGCCCTCCGCTCGGCAGCTGCTGCTGCCCTCCGCTCTGCAGCTGCTGCTGCCCTCCGCTCGGCAGCTGCTGCTGCCCTCCGCTCTGCAGCTGCTGCTGCCCTCCGCTCGGCAGCTGCTGCTGCCCTCCGCTCTGCAGCTGCTGCAGTTTGGTTGCCCGTCGCCTCCGGCCCCGGCCCCGCGCTCGGGGCCTTTCCGCTTGGTCCGGGGAATCAGGGTTGGCATTCTCCCCCTCCATGGGGCTTGATTCCAGCTCATCGGTGCAAGCCTCGTCCGCCATCTCCACATCCAACACCCAAACCGGCTCTTGCTGCCCTCCGCTCTGCAGCTGCTGCTGCCCTCCGCTCTGCAGCTCCCGCTGCCCTCCGCTCGGCAGCTGCTGCTGCCCTCCGCTCTGCAGCTGCTGCTGCCCTCCGCTCTGCAGCTGCTGCTGCCCTCCGCTCTGCAGCTCCTGCTGCCCTTCGCTCTGCAGCTCCTGCTGCCCTCCGCTCTGCAGCTGCCGCTGCCCTCCACTCGGCAGCTGCCGCTGCCCTCCGCTCGGCAGCTCCTGCTGCCCTCCGCTCTGCAGCTGCTGCTGCCCTCCGCTCGGCAGCTGCTGTTGCCCTCCGCTCTGCAGCTCCTGCTGCCCTCCGCTCTGCAGCTCCTGCTGCCCTCCGCTCTGCAGCTCCTGCTGCCCTCCGCTCTGCAGCTCCTGCTGCCCTCCGCTCTGCAGCTGCTGCTGCCCTCCGCTCTGCAGCTGCTGCTGCCCTCCGCTCGGCAGCTGCTGCTGCCCTCCGCTCGGCAGCTGCTGCTGCCCTCCGGTCTGCAGCTGCTGCTGCCCTCCGCTCGGCAGCTGCTGCTGCCCTCCGCTCTGCAGCTGCTGCTGCCCTCCGCTCGGCAGCAGCTGCTGCCCTCCGCTCTGCAGCTGCTGCTGCCCTCCGCTCGGCAGCTGCTGCTGCCCTCCGCTCTGCAGCTGCTGCTGCCCTCCGCTCGGCAGCTGCTGCTGCCCTCCGCTCTGCAGCTGCTGCTGCCCTCCGCTCGGCAGCTGCTGCTGCCCTCCGCTCTGCAGCTGCTGCTGCCCTCCGCTCGGCAGCTGCTGCTGCCCTCCGCTCTGCAGCTGCTGCTGCCCTCCGCTCGGCAGCTGCTGCTGCCCTCCGCTCTGCAGCTGCTGCTGCCCTCCGCTCGGCAGCTGCTGCTGCCCTCCGCTCTGCAGCTGCTGCAGTTTGGTTGCCCGTCGCCTCCGGCCCCGGCCCCGCGCTCGGGGCCTTTCCGCTTGGTCCGGGGAATCAGGGTTGGCATTCTCCCCCTCCATGGGGCTTGATTCCAGCTCATCGGTGCAAGCCTCGTCCGCCATCTCCACATCCAACACCCAAACCGGCTCTTGCTGCCCTCCGCTCTGCAGCTCCTGCTGCCCTCCGCTCTGCAGCTCCTGCTGCCCTCCGCTCTGCAGCTGCTGCTGCCCTCCGCTCTGCAGCTGCTGCTGCCCTCCGCTCTGCAGCTCCTGCTGCCCTCCGCTCTGCAGCTCCTGCTGCCCCCCGCTCTGCAGCTCCTGCTGCCTTCCGCTCTGCAGCTCCTGCTGCCCCGTCCCCACCGGCGGCTGCCGGCTCCTCTCCCGGGCCCCCTGCTGCCCGCCCACCTGCGGGTCACGCTGACCCCCCACTAGTGGCTCCTGCTGCCTGTCTTTCCCCGCCGCACTCCGGCGCCTCCGCTCCTGCCGCCATGCGAGACGTGGCACGACCGGGGGGGTTGCGGCGTCGGCCGAGCCGGCGCCGTGCAACATTGCCCTCACAGGTAGGCAGCGTCTGCGAGTGTCATGCTGTTGTTGCAAGCGCCTACGGTGTTCCTCCCAGGCTGCCCTCGCTACCTCCGATGCCACCCGTGGTACAACCGCCGCCTCGTCGACTGGACCCTTTTCGGTTGTTGCTCCCCCCCTTTCTCCGATGATGGCCGAAGGTACAGGGTAATCGCCGTCAGACACGGTGTTGGGAGGGTCTTCGAGAGGTTGGCCGCATGTCAGTACTGAAATCGAACGGCCTGCTTCACAACACTGTCTCTTGGCTGGTTTGCCAAAGAGGCACAGAAGGTCTTCGTGGTGGAGGCGACGAATGCGTGGGCTCTGGAGCGCACTCTCAGCCCCCCCCCGTCTTTTGTGACCGGTCAATAGGTGGAGCGACCCACCAGCTGCTACTGTGCTTACCCCCCCTTCACCCCCGAAGGCTCCCGTCACGTCGCTGTCAAGGCCGCCCCCCACCCGGCCCCCGGGATCCCCGGGGTCTGGGTCGTCCGCCATGGCTCAAGGATCTGGCTAAGGCTTGTTCGCTTACTCTCTGCTACTGCTCTTACTCTACGGTGCTGCTATGGCGCGGGTTTCGCTGCAAAGGTGCTGTCTTCGCTGCTACGGCACAGATCACACTCTTATGGCGCGGGTTTCACTGCGATGGCCCAGGCGCGGCTGCTATGGCGCGGATTCCGTTGCTGAGGGGCGGATTTCGGTGCTAAGACACGGCTTTTGCTGCTATGGCGCAAACCACGTTGTTATGGCGCGGATCTCGCGGCTATAGCTCGGATTTCACTGCTATGGCGCGGATCTCGCTGCTATGGCTCGGATCTCGCTGCTATGGCTCGGATCTCACTGCTGTGGCACGGACTTCGCTGCCGTGACGCAGATTTCGCTGATGTGGCGTGGACTTCGCTGCTGTGGCGCGTTTTTCGCTGCTGTGACGCGATTCTGCTGCCAGTACGTGAAACGAGCCTGCTATGGCGCCAGTTCTGCTGCCTAACGGCGCTGCGGGCGGCCTAATCGCTGGCTCTGCGGCTAGATCACGGGCTGGTCGGCTAGATCGCTGCCAAGCGGCTAAATCGCGAACCTGGCGGCTAAATCGCGGGCTCCGCGGCGAGATCGCGGACTAGGCGGCTAGATCACGGGCTCGGCTGCGAGGTACCGGGCTACGCGGCTGGATCACGGGCCTAGGAGCTCGTTCGCGGGCTGGGCGGCGAGATTGCGGGCTGGGTCGCGGGCTACGTGGCGCGATCGCGCTGCTACTAGCGAGGTTATGATTGGTGGAACTCCAATTTTCAGGAGTTGTGGTGGCGTTTCAGGAGAACTCCTATTGTGTTGAAACTTCAAAGCACAAAAATGAATCCGTTCCGTTGTCCATCTTCAATGGATGTATGGTGTACTCTTAGTATGCATCGCCCAGCCTGTACAAGCAATAAGAGCGCATTACGTCTGGCTGATACTTGCCACTTCTTATCTCTTATTTTGCCCTCCTAGTTGCCTCGCCACTTTTCAAGTTTCACGTTTGTAGGCCATGAACAACTAGTAAAACGTCACTGAAGTTCTATATCCAGAACATGACCAACACTCATCCCTCTCCGCGCTTCCGTCAGGGAGTCAATGGCAATCCCACCGCGTCATCCTCAACCGGATCGACGTTAACGGAACCTCTATTATCGGGCGCGGAAACCAGCAGACGACCCTCCCAATCCCCCAGCAGCAGCGGCGGCGGCGACCGCAGCGAGACTCACGGCGGAATACACGGCGGGATTCACAGCCCGGGCGGCAGCAGCAGCAGCAGCAGTCACAGACTCTCCTCCGCGACGAAAACGTTGGGGAATCTGATAGTGTCCATTGTGGGAGCGGGGGTGCTGGGGCTGCCGTACGCGTTCAAACAGAGCGGATGGTTGTTTTCGCTCGTGTGTCTCGCGGCCATGGCGTGCGTGTCGTACTACGGCATGGTGCTGCTCGTCGCGGCGCGGCAGTTTGTGGAAGACGACGCTAATAACGCAACTGCCGCTGCATCAGCAGCATCGTCATCAGCAGCACCGTTATCAGCAGTAGCAGCATCAGCAGCAACAGTGACAGAAGGGAATGCAGATGCATGTTCGACAGGCCGGTCGGTACAGACTTCGGTTGATGCCGGCTCTTGGGGGGACGTAGAAAGCGGTCGCGAGAAAGGGGGAGCGGGGAGGGAGCGAGCCGGGAGGGAGGGAGCAGGAAGCAGAGCCGGGGAGGTATACGTGGTGAAGGTGAATTCGTACGGCGACTTGGGGTTCAGGCTGTATGGTGTGTGGGGCCGAGTGGCGGTAGACGCTATGATGCTCATCAGCCAGGGTGGCTTCTGCGTGGCGTACTTAATATTCATAGGCCAAAACGTGTCCAGTGTGCTTTCACACTCCACCAGACACAAGACGCTCGTCATTGCCGCCGTTGGTAAGTGGCCTGAAACGTGTCAAAAGGTGTGTGGCATACCTGATATTCATAGGCCAGAACGTGTCCAGTGTGCTCTCGCACTCAACCAAACACAAGGCGCGCTCGTCATTGCTGCAGCTGGCAGGCGGTTGCTCGTAGGTGGTAGGTGGTAGGTTGTAGGTTGTAGGTTGTTGAGTCTACTTGAAACTTGGATGATGCTCGTGAGCGCTGGAGGATTCTGCGTGGCGTACCTCATCTCCATAGGCCAGAACGTGTCCACTGTGCTCTCGCACTCCACCAAGTGCAATCTTGTCATTGCTGCTGTCTGTACATGGCAGGTGACAGGTGGTGGTAGGTGGTTGCTGGTACATGGTCCATGGTAAATGGCTGGTAGTATGTGTGTGCTGATGGGGTGGCTGTATGGAAGAATGAGTGTGCGCAAGTGCACTCGTGTAAGTAACCCATGTGCACGGAGGTTACACTGGCGCCTCCTGCATGCAGTCCCACCCACCACGCTCGTCCACTCTTTGTCGCATGCCTCCTGCTCACCGGAATCCAGTTTCCATGCCCTTTGCTGGTACCCCCATCCTTTAGGATCCTCAATTCAATGACTTGTGCTCACTTCATTTCCGCCACCGTCCGACACTTCCCATACCCCTTCCCCTCATTTTCACGTCGAATTATTCTTACCGCATCCTGCTCCTGCTCTGCCTATCCATTCCATCCCCAAATCCCCTTCCCCTCCCCTTTTCTTGTCATCTCCCTCTTTCCCCTACCCCTTTCAGCGCCCTTGGAGGTTCTGCTGTCGTGGATGCGCTCTCTCACGCGCCTTGCTCCTTTCAGGTAATCTCTTTTAGGAAACCCCTTGCACACATGTCTCATTCGTGGAACCCTTTTCAGGTAATGCCTTTCAGGTAACCGCTTTCAGCCTTCCAGGTAACCCTCGTTGGCCCCTCCTCTGTTCTCAACGTTGTTACACTCATGCTCAATTCAACTCACCGCTCCCCTCGCATTTCACTTCCTCCTGTCCTTCCACCAACTGTTAGTCTCCGACGGTCCCACCTCTCTTCCCATATTCCCTGCACATGACTCCTCATTTTCTTGTACCCTTAAATAAACACCTCCTCTTCCCCACTCTCTCCCATTCCCTGTGCCCCATGCCGTCCCTCTCCACCCCTCACCATCCCTCTCCAACCCTCACCCTCCTTCTCCACCCCTCTCTCTCCAGCATATTCGCGGACGTGGCAAACGTCTCAGCCTTCGCCCTGGTGATCTGCTACGGCATCTACTCCTTCCACGGCTTCTCCCACCTCTCCGCCTTCACAGGCCTCTCCAACGCACCCATGGCTCTCGGCGTCGCAGTCTACGCATTCGAGGGCGTCGGCATGACTCTCCCTTTGCAGGCTTCCATGAAACAGCCCAGCCGGTTCCCCTCAGTTCTCGCGCTCGGCCTCGGGATCATCTCAGTGACTTACGCAGCGGTAGGCCTGGCGGGGTATGTGGGATACGGTGAGGAGACTCAGGAGATTATCACACTGAATTTGCCACCGGGATGGCCATCAGAAGCCGTGAAGCTGGGAATATGCGCTGCTCTTTTCTTCACATTCCCAGTCATGATGCATCCTGTGCATGAGATTTACGAGCGCAGGCTCTACCTTTCCCCATGGGTGCAATGGCACGTGCTTTCGAACAATACTCTTCGCCGCACGCTCTTCCGCTCGCTCCGTTCGCTTGCAGTGCTGGCAGTGGCGCTGGTGGCTGTGGGTGTGCCGCATTTCTCGGCGTTCATCTCCCTTATAGGCTGCAGCGTGTGCTCTGCATTGGCATTTGTCTTCCCTGCACTGTTTCATCTGAAGGCCTGTAAAGGCCGGACGAGTGGGGTAGTGGTGGCTGGAAACTGGTTCTTGGTGGTGTTTGGAGTGGCGTTTGGCCTTTGGGGGACGCTAGATGCTGTCAAGAGATTTCAACTAGGCCCAGGGTGAGGTGTGTTATGTGGAACAGGTGCGTGAATGGAGAGGCAGAGGAGAGTTGTTGAGATGGAAGCAGCAGGCAGACTGGTGGGGCAAAGATCAGATAATAGGAAGCTGTGAAAGAATGAATGTTATATACCTGAGCAGGAGAGGTCGTGTCAAGGAATAGCAGGTGCGAGTTGGATTGGTGGGCAGTGGACTTGACATGGGCGTTCATGAAACCAATAAAGGTGCTCTATGACACCCATGCATTGTTGACATTAACAGGACCCACAGAGGCAGGTGCTGTTAGAGCCAAAACGGTGGCAATTTACAACCATGTTTTGTTCCCGTCACAGGATAAACAGCAGTGAGTTTAACGATTTGTGTACTTATTGTATGCGACTAATAAGTGCCAAGATCAAACAGCCTCATTGCATGTACGGAAGTCTTCTTTTTGTTCAACATTGTACTACTGACGAAGAACCTTGTACAGTAGCATCCCTTTCCCCCGGCGGGTCGAAATTGGATGTTCGAGAATTCGAATTTCCGTACTAGACTCGCGCACGAAACCCCCGTAACATGTGAATGCAGCCAGGAATGCATGGAATGCAAAGCTATCATCGAGGAAGGGAGAGGAGGAGAGGACGCCGAGGCGAATGACCAAACCAAGGATGATAGAAAGCTGGCATAATCAAACGCCGAGCCCTCCATATTCTTCACATGCTTTCCATTTTCCACATCTCCAGTCCATTGGTTGTTACCTTCCCTTCTTTCTTGCTGTTTTCTACACGTGTGACTCGCCATCTTGTGACCGCTAACTTATAACTCTACAACTTAGTAGTCGCCGGCTCGCACCTGGTCAACCGGCGTTCGCGCTACTACCGTATTTCATAAATATTGCAAAAATCCATCTGGTTCATCACGTCACAGCGACAAAATCCAATCTCCCGGCTCGTCGTCATCATGAAGCGCGGTGACCGTTGTCGTCTGCTGTCTCTCCCGGACGAGATTCTCGAGTCCATCCTCAGCGCCGTCACCCACCCATCCGACCGTTGCAACGTCGCTCTCGTCTGCTCTCGCTTCCACCGCATCTCGCGCCGCACGCCGCACTCGCTCCTCGTCGAGTTCATGAGTTACCAGCGCTGGGGTTCCAAACTCCGAGATTGGTTGGCCGAGTTCGACATGAAATCGAGGGCATTTCCCCGCATTACTAGTGTGACCGTCCTCCTGTCGAACACCCTGCGAGACTACCTACTGGCGGGTATTGGCGCCACGTGCGGGCAGCTGAAAGAGTTAAAGCTGTTGACGGTGGACTGGGAGAGTTTCGAAGCCACTGCTAGTGGTTGGCGATCGCTTGCTCGCCAATGCCCGTGAGTAGCCTTCCTTGGGCATCTCCGAACGGTACATATATCTCTCCCCCACCGTGAAGTTAAAGTAGCGCCCTGTTTCGTTTCCTCCGCTTCGTTACAGTCACTTCAGTGAACCCTTCATCATCACCATCACTCTTCCTTCGCACCTTTCACCTCATCAACTCAACTGCCCCCTCCCCGGCCTCTCCCCTGTTCCCCACCCTGACCACCTCCTTTCAGCCATCTGACTCATCTCGAGCTCAGCTCCCGTTTCGCCCGCAATACATCCCGCCGCCGCTACGAAGACAGGACCGCCCTGCCGCCTCTCCACGCCTTCCCCTCACTCCGCGCCGTCACCCTCGGCTTCCACCCCAAGGAAATCTCTCCCCTCCTCCGCTGTTCCGCGCTCACCTCTCTCTCGCTCTGGCAACCCACCGGCGGCGACCTTGCATGCCTCGCGTCTCCCTGCTTCTCCCCCTCCTTCCGCTCGTCTCTCCAATCCCTCACCATTCAATCTGGCAACTTAACGAACTACCTCCCCCGCGTATCCTCCTTCACGTCCCTCTCCTCCCTCTCCCTCGAGTCTTGCACATTCAACCCGTGCGAGCTTCACTCCCTCTCGCGCTCCCTCCACTCCCTCACGCACCTCACCATCGACAACTGCCCCTCGGTCTGCGGCCGTGCCGTGGCAGCAATGGTTCGAGCCAATCCCTCACTCTCCTCCCTCTCTCTCTCCGGAAGCTCCTACCGTCTCTTCAGCTCCAAGCCCCTCTCAGCCGTGCTTCGCCTGTCGTCCCGTAAGCTGCAGACGCTCACGCTTGCGGGTCTGCCGTCGTTCCGCCCGGGTATGCTTGCGGGGTGCAGCAGCCTTGAGTCGCTCACTCTCGAACGAACAGAGGGGTCGCTGGAAGGGCTGCTGGGCATGCTCGTCAGGGCGGACGAGGCGGGGGGATTGATGGCACGACGTGTGGATACGCCTGCGGGTGCGGGTGCGGGTGCGGGAGGGGGAGCGGGCACGGGTGCGGGTGCCAGTGCGGATGCGGATGCGCCTGCAGCTGCCCCGTCAGCGGCGGCGGCGGAGGGGAGGATCGAGGGGAACCGGCGCGCCTATATTGATATCCGCGCAGCAGCAGCATCGGCGCGCGCCGACGCGGCCTCAGCATGGAGAGATATGAGCCGGCTAATCGATGTGGCGGGGGAGCTAATTGGCTCCGCGCACGCGGAAGCGGACACTGCGCGGCGACACCAGTGGCTGCACGCAGAAAAGCCCGCCATAAAAAAGATAATGGGCGCGATTTCCGCCTGTCAGTCCGCGTCCGCGGGGGCGTGGGACGCGAACGCCGCGAGAGTGAGGGCGCGCGCTGTGGTGCGACACTCTGCCGCCGCCGCCGCCGCTGGCGCTGGCGCTGGCGCTGGTGCGTCAGGGGTTTTCACAACGGAGTTTTACGGAAACGAGGAGGAACGGTGGTCGGAAGACGCAGATCTAGAAGCTTGGGGTTTAGGCTCGGTGGTGTTTGCCGACTTTACAGACGGAGAGTACCGTGCTGGCGCAACCCCCGATGGGCCTCACCACTTGATGCTGGAGAGGGATCCGAGTGACGGCATTCCCGAGGTGTCTCGTGAAGAGCTGTTCGCGACGCTAGATGGGTTGTATCAGCAGCTGCGCCCGCATCAGTCGGCCATGCGTGAGAGCGTTGAGGCGCTGCTTGCGGGGGAGGATGTTGAGGGCGGGATAGTTGGGGCGGTAGCAGCGGCGGGTGGGGCGGCGGAAGCAGCAGGTGGGGCGGCAGAACCAGTGGGTGAAGCAGCAGGAGATACCCCAGGAGTGGAACAACAGGTGGAAGCTGCACAGGAGCAGGGCGTGCAAGAGAGAGTGGACGTCGAGGGAGTGCAAGAGGAGGGTGCACAAAGGGAGGAATTTCTAGGGGAGGGAGAAGAAGAAAGGGCAGGCAGCAGCAGGCTCGCAGCAGCTAAGATGCATGAAGAATCTCTAAGGGTAGCGCGAGTGGAAGTGATCTGCCCGTCCCTGGCTTCCTTGGTTCTGGAAAACATCCAGTTCAGCCCTCCTTCCGGGCCTACTTCTGAGAATCTTCCCTCTACATTCCCCCTCCTGCTTCCAGTCTCCCGTACTCCTCCTTGCTCCACATTTCGCCCCTCAACCTCCCTTTCCTCCCCTGATTTCGCCCCAAGTGCCTCTCCCGCTCAGCAGCAGCAGTCGTTTGAGAGCATTGCCTTGGCGGCTGTGTTTGGTGGGCTGAGGCGGTTGGCAGTGGTGGCGTGCGGTGGGGTGGGGGAGGAGCAGCTGAGGGCAGTGCTGCGTGCATGCCGGGTGTTGGTGGAGCTGAGAGTAGAGCGCAGCGATGCCATGTCCGATGCCCTGCTGCGAGCATGCCCAATCGACACTCTCACCCACGCCACTCTCATCGCTTGCAACGGGATCACGTCTGCTGGGGTGATCGGGTTGCTTGAAAGCTTCCCAAGGCTGAGGCAGTTAAAGGTGGAAGCAGATAAGGTTCCTGAAAGGGCACGAAGGAAGTTGCTGCGTGCTGGTGTGATCATCAGGGGGGTGTGAGGTTGAGTGAAGCTCATGACACCAAGTGTGGCTCTTCATGAGAAGGTGGACAGTAATGCAGCAAGATGAGACATAACTTGCCTTTGGCTTTCCTTGTTCTCTCAGCAGAGCTAGGCTGTTCAGAGGGGGCTTATCCCAAGCAATTGCTCTCGGTGGAATACCGTGAGTTTTCTTCTCGGTATGACATCCTAGTGGGGCAGCTGAACTGGTATGAAATGCCTTGGTACCAATAATGAAATGCCCTGGTACCAATACTGAAATGCCTTGGTACCAATAATGAAATTTCTTGGTACCAATAATGAAATGCCTTGGTGCCAGTCAATGCAGGTAATGTTTTACAGTATCTCAAAACATGTTTGAAGACACTTCAGGTTGGCTAATCTTTGTTAGTGGATTGAGTTGAGAGGCTTCAAGCATTGGGAACGCAGTATATGAGATATATCATTGCGCAAACACACCGTCATCACCCGGATAGTAGATAGTGTTGAATAGTAGATAGGGCTTGTCTATTATCCGGGTGTCTCTTATAAACAGGCTAGCCTCGTAAGACACCTATTTGTGTGTACGAGTTAAGCCAGTGTAAGGGTTAGGGGCAATTGTATAACGAGGGGGTATCTTCTAAACTGTTCTTTGTCCATTTATAAGACTTATAAGACACCCAAAACCTCCCCAAATACAAGATAACCCACCCATTTTTTCTAGTGTACGAGATAAGACATATGTCTTCTATCCGGGCGATGACGGCAATATTTACATTCGAGAAGCAACCCTGGTCTCTACATTCAAGACCTGCACTGCAAGGTCTCAGAGAAATACAGCTGCATCCAGACAGCTTTAGCATTTGTAGGTTCGGATGGAGTGAAGGGGATGCTGGAGGGGATGCTGAAGGGGATGCTGGAGGGGACGCTTCATCGTGCTACCTCACCTTACTACAACGATGCGCCTTGCACAGAGGGCCACACCCAGGGCCAACGTCAAACTCGCACCCCCTAACAACGATACCAGCACGAAGTAACTTCCTCCGAGCCCTCTCAGGAACCTTCTCCTCCTCCACCTTTAAATACCTCAACCCCGGGAAACTCCCAAGCAGCCCGGCAACACCGGCAGCTGTAACCTGCTTGCATGCGACAAGCGTCGCGTGAGTGAGTGAGTGCAGAAGACATGAGAGCAGCACTTTATCGGACATGGCGTGGCAGTGCTCTACTCTCAGCTCCACCAACACCCGGCATGCACGCAGCACTGTCCTCAGCTGCTCCTCCCCCACCCCACCGCACTGCACCACTGCCAACCGCCTCAGCCCGCCAAACACAGCCGCCAGGGCAATGCTCTCAAACGACTGCTGCTGAGCGGGAGGGGCACTTGGGGAGAAGTCAAGGGAGGAAAGAGGAGTTGAGAGAAATGTGGAGCAAGGAGAAGCACGAGAACCAGGAACCAGGAGAGGGGATGTAGAGGGAATATACCCTGGCAGAGGCTCAGAAGGAGGGGTAAACTGGATGTTTTTCAGGACCAGGGAGGCCAGGCAAGGGCAGAACACTTCCACTGGCGTTGCACTTTTCACTCTTTGACACGCCACAGCTGCTGTGGATCTGCTGCCTGACTCTCCTCCTCCTCCTCCTCCTCCTCCTCCTCCTCCTCCTCCTCCTCCTCCTCCTCCTCCTCCTCCTCCTCCTCCTCCTCCTCCTCCTCTCTCCCCTTGACCTTCCTCCCTTTGTGCGCCGCCCTCTTGCACCCCTGGCTCCTCAACTGCTGCTGCTGGCTCCTCAACTGCTGCTGCTGGCTCCTCAACTGCTGCTGCTGGCGCTTCTGCCTGGCCCTCAGCATTCTCCCACCGGAGCAGCGAATCAGCGTCCTCACGCATGGCCGACAGGCGCACGCGCAGCTGCTCCGAAAGCCTATCCAGCACCACAAGCAGCTCCTCACGCGACACTACGGGCCCACTGCCACCTGACTCACACTCCTCCGTACCGTTGTGAACCGCATTCAAGGTTGCCCCAGCAGCACGGAAGTCCTCACCTCCGTTACTGAGCACAATGTCTTCTCCAAGCTCCCGATCCTCCTCTTCCTCTTCTCCTGCAAACTGCGCAGTGAATATCCCTAAGGTGCCGGCAGCAGCAGCAGCGGTGAAGAGTCGTGCCACAGCGCGTGCCTTCTCTCTCGCAGCGTTCGCGTCCCACACCCCAGCAGAGGCCGACTTGCAGGCGGCAATAGCGCTCACGACCGCATTGATAGCGGACCTCACACTTTGTACGGACTCGTGCTGGTGTGCGGAATGTGCTTCGGACAGCGCAGCACGCGCAAGGTGTCCCGCCCGCTTGCGCAGCCGGCGCACGTCTCTCCAGGATGAGGCCGCGTCGGCACGCGCCGATGCTGCTGCTGCGCGGATGTCGATGTAGCTTCTCCGCCTTCCGTTGATCCTCCCCTCCGCAGCTGCTATAGGAACACCCAAACCCGCACCCGCACCAGCAACCGCACCCGCACCCGAAGGCGTATCCACACGTCGTGCCATCAATCCCCCCGCCTCCTCCGCCCTGACGAGCATGCCCAGCAGCCCTTCCAGCGACCCCTCTGCTCGTTCGAGAGTGAGCGACTCAAGGCTGCTGCACCCCGCAAGCATGCCCGGGCGGAACGACGGCAGATCCGCAAGCGAGAGCGTCTGAAGCTTACGGGACGACAGGCGAAGCACGGCAGAGAGGGGCTTGGAGCTGAAGAGACGGTAGGTGGTGCTGATGAGAGAGAGGGAGGAGAGGGAGGGGTTGGCTCGAACCACTGCTGCCACAGCACGGCAGCAGAACGAGGGGCAATCGTCGATGGTGAGGTGCGTGAGGGAGTGGAGGGAGCGCGAGAGGGAGTGAAGCTCGCCAGGATTGAATGTGCAGGAGTGGAGGGAGAGGGAGGAGAGGGACGTGAATGAGGAAAGGCAAGGGAGGTAGTTTGTTAGATCGGCAGATCGGATGGTGAGGGATTGGAGAGACGCGCGGAAGGCAGAGGAGGAGGAGGCGAGACAGGCAAGAGAGCTACCTGTGGTCTGCCAGAGGGAGAGCGAGGTGAGCGCGGAGCAGCGGATGAGGGGAGAGATTTCCTTGGGGCGGAAGCTGAGGGTGAGGGCGCGGAGGGAATGGAAGGCGTGGAGAGGCGGCAGGGTGGGATTATCCTCGTAGAGGTAGCGCGATGCATCGCGGGAAAATCGCAAGCTGAGCTCCAGATGAGTCAGCTGGCTGAAATTAGGTGGTCCGGGCGGGCGAATGGGGAGAGATGGGGGAGGTGGGGTTGGGGGGGAAGGGGTGAGGACGCGAGGGGGGTTTTGAGAATTCTCAGGTGGTTGATGAGAGGAGGCAAAGAGGAGAGCTGGTGGTGAGAAGAGAAGAGAAGAGAAGAGAAGAGGCTCGTTGAAGTGAAACGCTTGTAACGAGGCGGTGGAAACGAGAGCAAGGGAGTGGGACGAGAGAGCGATACTGCGTCATAGTCCTCTGCTTGTTGAGAACGATGCTGCATCTCGGGATCTTCCCTTTCCTCCTTTGAACCTCCGTTATATATACAGAAACTGAATTACCCCTTTCTCTTCTTTTCGAAGGGAGAAAGGGGCGGGGAGGTAGAGAATCTGTTCGCAAATTCCCAAGAATGGGGGGGCGAGGGGGAGATAACTCTACCGTCCACACATCCCCAAGCATTCCCTACGCAGGCCACTCACGGGCATTGCCGAGCAAGCGACCGCCACCCACTAGCAGTGGCTTCGAAACTTCCCCAATCCACCGCCAACAGTCTTAACTCCTTCAGCTGCCCGCACGTAGCGCCAATACCCGCCAGCAGGTAGTCTCGTAGGGTGTCCGTCACGCGCACAATCAGACTGGTAATGTTGGAAAACACCCTTATTTTCGCGTCGAATTCTTCCAACCAATCCCGGACGCTGGTATGCCGGTGGTGGTAACTCATGAACTCGACGAGGAGCGAGTGCGGCGTGCGGCGCGAGATGCGGCGGAGGCGCGAGCAGACGAGCGCGACGTTGCAACGGTCGGATTGGTGGGTGATGTTACTTAGGATGGACAGGAGAAGCTCGTCTGGGAGAGACAGCAGACGACAACGGTCACCGCGCTTCATAGTCGCGACGAACCGCGACACGAGCAAGGGTCTGTGGCAACGAGCACCTTTCAGCGCGGATGGAGAGAGAATTACCGCGGCACGGGCTTTTGGCTCGGTAATTTTTTATATCGCGCTGCAATTTTTACAAAACCGCTTTCGCGGTCCATCCACCTTTCATAACCGAGAGAATTACCGCGGCACGGGGTTGGGCATCTGGAATTTTTCTTATAGCGTGCCAATTTTGTTATACCCCATTGCGACAAGAATCCACCTTTTGTCCCGCGCTTCCCGCGGTGCCGTCATTTCGTATTGAAAAAAGAAGTGTAGCTATCAGTGTACGGTCACTTCGAAAATGTTTGCCAGGATTACACATGGTCGCCTCCAATATTGTTGGAACCAGACCACAAATTTCGAGGGAGTCCAAACCTACGTGGGTAGGTTTGGCTCGATCCCCCCAACTTCCCAGCCATGAGCATGTGTTCGTTTTGACATGTGTTCGCCAGCTGGTTCACCCTGGATGCCCCATTAATCGCTGACGCGGATTGATAAAAAACCGTTCGAAACACTATACACGTCAGACTGAGCATCATCCAAGCCACTTCAGACACTGCCAATCGAACAACTCGATGTTAAAAAGCAAGGAGTTTCGATATACGCTGAGCATAATACCAGAAAATATTATTGAATAATACACAAAGAACCGTTAATATAACTGGGCTTGCATAAAACAGTTGAAGTATCTGTCAAAAGCAAGTTTCTTCATAGTTCCAATACATGATTTGTAGTTTGAGTAATGTATTCATACTGTCAAATATGAAACAACGTATATTGAAAACTATCAACATTCATGGTATAAGATTATCAAATGTTTAGGTCATACAATGAAATTATTTATGTCACTAGTGTTGAAAACATGTAACTGTATAATGTCCCATTATGCATGGGGATAGCAGGAGTATGTGCTACAGATACATATTATATGTATAACATAACCATGTATAAATTATTAGGACATTAGGAGTATGTGCTACAAATATAAATTATATGTATAACATAACCAAGTATAAATTATTAAGATTGCAAAGTAGACACTAATAGGTTTACACATGACAATAAAAGTGGGAAGTTATGACTTGGTTAAATATTTGTTGTACAAGATGAACAATTGTCAAGCATAGCAATGAACCATTACTGTTTCTAAAGATTGAAAAAAGATGGGTAATCTCAAGGTGTATCAATAGACATACCTACGTCAATAGGGTATGGCAGAACTACGTAATGCATGCACAACTACACCATACATGAAGGATTGAGATAGCAAGATTGACAAACAAAAGATTGAATATGAATTCACGGGGTGTAAATTCAAACAATTGCTCTACCATTTCCAATTTCTCAGAGTGATGATCGGTCTTCGATTGTACCAATAGAATGAATGGATGAGAAGACTCAAAGTACTTCGAAATGGGAAATAACCTATTAAACACAATATGAATATCTGAAACAATAAACAACCGACTTTTCATTCTATATCATATTGTGTACTTTGTCCTCCTAATGTCAAACATGATATATGTTATTGTAGTGTAGGCTATAGCGGGTTAGCCTTTAAGGGGTATATCATTCTAGGGTTTGCTACTTGTATCACCAATGTTCATAGTTCAATCACTTGTTCTTTCTAACGTGGTATTAAGAGCGTAGGTCCTAGCCCTAGGACCGCTTACCTAAGGGCCCATCGTTCCGCTAGTTGCGCCCTCGTGCGCCTTCTCCTAATCGCGCCCTTGTGCGCCTCACGCCTAGTGCGCCCTCGAGCGCCCCGCTTTTTCGGCCGCGTCGCCCGCTAGTCGCTCGCGCGGCCCGTTTTTTGCCCGCGTAGCCCGCTAGCCGCCCGCGCGCGGCCCGTTTCACGTGCGCGTGACCAGGTAGCCGCCCACGCAGTCGACGCCGCCCACGCGTAGCCCGCCCAGGCCTCGCGCGGCCCCTAGAGCAGCGTGCGTAGGCCGCCGCCCTGCCCGTCGACTGCCGCGTAGGCCGCCGCTTAGCCCACGAAGGCCGCCGCCCACGAGTAGGCCGCCGCCCGCGCGCCAGTGTTGGAATCACTGAACAGGAATGAATGAACTAGCAATGAAAAGAGTACAAGTACCTAACCCTAGAATTGTGTACCTCCTATAGGCTAACCCACTGTAGCCTAAACTAACACAACATATATAATGTTTGACACACCCCCATAGGCAAAGTGGGGGAGAACTAGGGGTCACAAGACCAGTCAAGGCAAAGCAAGGCAAAACAAGCTCAGGGTGGATCTCAAGGATACCACACAAATTCCGAGCACAAGCAAGTGGTCACAAGACCAGTTCACATGCAGGTTTATATATAGAGATCACAGTACAACAGACTCAAGAAGTAAGCAAGTGAGGTCCAGTAGGCACAAGGCCTAGAAGAGTGCAAAAGCGCTGATGGTCACAAGGCTGAAGCGCCTTGGTGAACACATCAGCAGTGTTGGCCTCAGAGGCCACGTAACGCAGGCGAAGCTGACCACGCTGCTGCAGCTCTCGAGCGAGGAAGTAACGCAGAGCAATGTGCTTCGTTCTGTGCTCCAGTCTGTGCTCCTCACACAAGGCAATGGCTGCCTTGTTGTCGACGTACAGCACTGGAGGAGAACGAGGCTGCTCTCCAAGGTCGGTCAGCAAGTAGGTGAGCCAGCGTAGCTCCTGGGCCGCCATGGCTGTGGCGTAGATCTCAGCCTCACAACTGGAGCTGAGAACAGAAGAAGAGCGAGTAGAACGCCAAGAAACAGAACCAGAGCCAAGACTGAAGGAGTAACCCTGAGACGACCGCTGAGTAGCCTGGTCGTCTGCCCAAGAAGCGTCTGAGTGCCCTGTGAGAACAACTGGGACTCGCCCTCCAAGCACTAGCCCCATGCCCGACGTACTGCACAAGTAGCGCAACACCCTCTTAGCTGCATCCATGTGCTCCTTCCGGTGACGGCCGGGAGCGACATAGCGTGCAAGAATGCTGAGAGGGTATGCAAGGTCTGGTCGAGTGCAGGTCATCAGGTACATGAGGCAACCCACAAGCTCTGGATACGGGCCACTCGGCTCTACGGACTCATCCGAAGGCAGAGCTGAGAGCGAGTGACCGGTAGGCAGAGGAGTGGGCTGAGGCGAGGAGTACGTGAAGCGGAAGCGCTGAAGGACCTGCTGCACCATGTGTGACTGAGTCAAGGTGATGGTGCGGCGTGCTCTGTCCCGGGTGATCCGCAAGCCAAGATAGCTTGTCAGTTCACCCAGGTCTGTGCACGTGTGTCTCTTCTGCAGCTCCGACTTCACGTGGGCGAGTGCCACAGTGTCAGCAGTAGCAAAGACCAAGTCGTCGACGTACACAAGGACGTAGAACGGCGGCAGTGAGGTGTCGGTGCGTAGAAACAGCGACGGGTCAGCAGTAGAAGGCGCGAACCCAAGAGCCGCAAGCGTAGTCCTCAGTGTGTCGTGCCACTCACGAGGCGCCTGGCGGAGACCGTAGACTGGCCGTCGGAGGCTCCACTGGGTACCAGGAGGGAACGACCCAGTGAAGCCAGGTGGACGGCGCAGCCAGATCTCCTCGTGCAGGCTGCCCTGCAGGAAAGCAGTGCTGAAGTCAAGCGAGTGGAGCTCGTAGTCACGCTGAGCGGCGACGTGCAGCAGAACCCGAAGAGTGGTCATCTTCGGGGTCGGGGAGAAGGTCTGGAAGAAGTCAACTCCCTCGCGCTGACTGAAGCCTCGTGCAACGTAACGCGCCTTGAAGACAGGCGGAGAACCCGGCGGCCGCTTCACCCTGAAAATCCACATGCCACTGACGATGTTCGCCCCAGGCGGGGGAACCTCGTCGACGTAGGTGCCTGTGGACTTCCAGGAAGCCATCTCTGTGTCCATGGCTGACTGCCACTGAGAGGAGTAGGGACCGGCCATCGCCTCTGCGTAAGAGCGTGGGGTCGGGATGTCTGGTGCATCCGGGTCTCCCTCAGGGGCAACAAGCATGGACACGAGATGGGGCAAAGCGGCAGCAAAGCACTGGAACTCCTCCTGCCTGTCCTCAAGGACGTCAGTGCCAAGAGCACACTCACCCCCGACGGACGGAGGACAGACAGACTCAGACTCAGCAACTAGGCTAGCAGCGTAGTCTAGACGACAGCGAGCAGCAAAGTCGACAAGCTCAGCAACTAAGGCAGACGCAGCAGCAGACTCAAAGGAAGGGTCAGTGACAACAGTGGCCAGGAGACGCGTGACAGCAGGACTGGTAGCACGAAGAGAGTCTGACCCAGGGTCAGGAAGAGCAGGAAGAGAGGAAGCAGGAGGAGACGGCAGTGGGACACGCTGTGGAGCAGTGGACGGACGAAGCGCCATCCGGTGAGTGCCTGGGACAGCAGGAAGACGCTGACGCTGGACTCGACGACTAGAGAGAGCAGTGCGGACAGGCGACCCAGGACGAGACTCAGGCGACGCAGGACGAGACGCAGGCTCACGCCGCTCAGTAAGACCTCCAGTCGGACCAGTGTAAGGAGCAGGACCAAGGAGAGAGGAGGCAGACGGTAACGCCGACTGCAGCTGGACAGGCTGAGGACACTCTAAGGAGGGAGGAGGAAAAGGAGGAGGAAGCTGACCAAGAACCTGCTGAAGGAGCGGAACAAAGTACGGCTGAGACCGAGCAGCGACACCAGAGCCAGCAGGGACACCCGCACCAGGGTCGGCAGCACCAGCAGCAGCTCCAGCGTCCACGTCCTCAGCACCAACGGTAGCTCCAACGCCCGGGTCCTCAGCACCAGCAGTAGCTCCAACGCCTGGGTCCTCAGCACCAGCAGCAGCTCCAACGCCCGGGTCCTCAGCACCAGCAGCGGCTCCAACGCCCGGGTCCTCAGCACCAGCAGCAGCTCCAACGCCCGGGTCCTCAGCACCAGCAGCGGCTCCAACGCCCGGGTCCTCAGCACCAGCAGCAGCTCCAACGCCCGGGTCCTCAGCACCAGCAGCAGCTCCAACGCCCGG